AATGTTAACACCAATCCCCCCCCCCAACAAAGCAAAATATCACAAAGGTTATCAAACTCCTGAGAAGTGGGAAAGCAGCAGGTCGAGACGACATTCTATCAGAAGCCCTAAAGACAGACATTCAAATAACCACAGAGATGTTACATCAGTTTTAGGAAGGTTTTGAAACAAGAAAAAACTCCAATGGAGTGAAAGGAGGGATACTTGGTGAAGTTGCCAAAGAAAGAAACCTTGCACTGTGTGGCAACTGGCAAGACATCATGCTGCTGTCAGTGACCAGCAAGGTGTTCACCAGAATGATCCCGGAGAGACTGAAGGTCGCCCTGGATGACAGACTCAGAGTTACACAGGCAGGATTTCATGCAGATGGATCATGCTCAGATCAGATAGCCATGCTCGGAATCATCACTGAGCAATCCAACGAACGACAGACGCCACTATACACCAACTTTGTGGCTTTAGAAAAACTTTTGACAGCATCAACAGAAAAGTAATCTGGAACCTAGTCCAACGCTATGGCATCCCAGTAAAATTCATGAACATCATCAGAGAATTCTAAGAGGAGTCAGCATGCAAGATGATCGACTGAGTGATAAGGCAGACTACCAACAACACAAAGACAGGCATCCAGTGGACATTCATGAAGCGCCAGAAAGATCTCGATCCTGCAGATGACCTACGTCTCCTATCTCACAGGCAGCAGGACATGCAATCCAAGACTTAATGACTTGCTGAGGAAACTGAAAAAACTGGGCTATGCATAAACGTTTACAAGACCAAGATGATGATAATCAACAACAGACAACGGGACCCAGTGCAGCTCAAGGGAGACGGTATAGGAGAAGTTAACAAGTTTGTGTACACCGGAAGTGTCATCTCAAGGTACGGTGGCACGGACAAAAACGTCAGTTCGCGAATCAACAAAGCCAGATTCGCCTTCATTTCTCTCCAGCCTATAAACGTCATCAGCTCTCTCCTATAAGTCAGACTCTTTAACACCAACGTGAAACCAGTCCGTCTTTATGGCGTAGAGACATGGCGAATCACCGAGACCATTACAGCCAAGATTCAGACCTTCGTCAACAAGCGTCTCCACAACATACTGTACATTAGATGGCCTGATGTCATCTCCAATGCTAACCTATGGGAGCAGACACATCAGCTGCCTGTCCAAGAAGAAACGGAGCTGGATTGGTTACACGCTCAGGAAGTTTTATAGCAACGTAATAAGACAGGCGCTGGAATGGAACCCACAGGGGAAAAGAAAATGGGGAAACAACAATGACCTGGAGGAAATCCGTCGACGAAGAGATCAAGGCCGCTGGACTCTCATGGGCTCAGCTGAGGACGACCGATATGGTGGCGTGGAACAGTCGTGGCCCTGTGTTCCAGTCGGAACTAAGAGAAATAAGTCAAGTAAGTAAGTCATCATTATATTGCGAATAGTTGCATTTATTTACGGAATTTACTTTACAAGAACATTTCGAGTATATTTTCGCTGTTTAAGTGCTTATACTAGTGTAGCACATGTGATAGTTATACAATTGTTTTATGTTTAGGAACATTACTTGCGTCGCTATATTATACATCTTATGAATGTATCGGTGACTCAAGAAATACGTAATTTTTGTGAGGCCTGTGTTTCAATCAAGTACAACAAAAGGTCCTGAACTGCACTATATTTCTCTATGAACGAAAATGAAGTGGAGGTACGCAAGTTAAAGATAAATCACATGTTAAAATGAAAGAAAAGTAAACAACTTGTCCCTATTTCGTTTACAAATAACAAAGGAAGGTTGTTGTTTTGTTTTTTTATAAATTTAGAATGCAGGAGATAAATAAACAAAGGTACTTGAGATATATTCATTTTTTTTACGCAGAAATATATTCAACAATATGCTAAAGAAAAATTACAACAACAATTTTACAAAAGTTCGAGCCCCCCAATGGCACAGCGGTATGTCTGCGGACTTACAACACTAGAATCCGGATTTCGATACCCGTGGTGGACAGAGTACAGACAGCCCATTGTGTAGCTTTGTGCTTAACTACAAACAAACAAGAGTTCGAAAAATTCACATGAAAGAAAATTACAACAATCACTTTTTAAAGAAATACTTAATTTTTGTTTAAATATATAATGAGTTAAGTTTAATAAAAGCAACTGTCATGTTGTTTTTTATGAAATAAATAATCAAACAAACGTAGAAAACACAAAACTTATAAGATACTTAGAACACTTAAATGAGTAACGCATATAGATACTCATTCAACGTTCTTTTAAGAACAGCCTTAGTCGTATTTTGTGTTTGTAAACACTGCTGTTCCATAACTGTTTGTATGTTTCTTAAATCAAGCGGTTTTTATGGAACGTCGATTAGAATCGTAAATTGTTTGAGCACTGAATACATATATGTAGCCAATATCCAGGTAAGAAAGATTAGCAAGTACGTTTTTTTTTTTTTAAACTGTATCATGTAAGAATAATATTCTATATTTTATATAACTCACCTGAATACAAACCATTACATATGACTCCAGAAAAGAGTACGGCAAAGAAAATATATAACTCCTTCATTTTCTCGGTTAAACTGTACGTTTAATTGTCGGATCAGCAGCCTGTATTTAGAGTCTCTACACTGTTCTGTATTCCAAGAGTTATGAAACGTTAAGACTATTCTCTCTCATTTAACCTTCGAAACAAACTTTGCTCTTAATAAGGATTTCCTGTTGATGTAGAAAAGTGTGACTAAGAAGAGACGGGGTAAGCCAAAACCATCTAAGTGGTGTTGGGTAAGCTGAGGAGAGTGACGTCACGCAGCACCACAGTTAAGACTCACGTGTTGCTGTAATTGCAAACACACCCATGAAAACCGAGTAAAACAATCCAAATATCATGCGATTTCGCTCTTTTCATTCATGGTAATCTCTTTTTTTTTATAGATTACTAACACAGGTCTTAACACCATAACTAGCATAGGTTTTAACACCATAACTAGCATAGGTCTTAACAGCTTAACTAGCATAGATCTTAACACCATGAATAGCATAGGTCTTAACACCATGAGCAGCATAGGTCTTAACAGCATAACTAGCATAGATCTTAACACCATGAGTAGCATAGACCTTAACACCATAATTAGCATAAGTCTTAACACCATGACTAGCTTAGGTCTTAACACCATGACTAGCTTAGGTCTTAACACCATAACTAGCATAGGTCTTAACACCATAACTAGCATAGATCTTAACACCATAACTAGCATAAGTCTTAACACCATGAGTAGCATAAGTCTTAACACCATGAGTAGCATAGGTCTTAACCCCATATTTCAACCTTTCGGATTATATTACATTATCTTGTACTTTATTCTGCTCTTTTATAGTAAAGCTAAAGTTATATCTGTATTGGTAAATATCAGTATTCAAATCTACAATGGCCTGGCGCGACCTCGTGGTTAAGGCGCTCAAATCGTAAACTGCGGGTCGTGGGTTCAAATACCCGCCACCGAATATGCTCGCCCTTTCAGCCGAGGAGGCGTTATAATGTGACAGTCAATCTCACTATTCGCTGGTTAAAAAAGTAGCTCAAGAGTTAACGGTGGGTGGTGTTAACTAGCTGCCTTCCCTACAATCTATCACTGTTAAATTAGGGACGGCTAGCTCAGTTAGTCCTCCAGTAACTTAGCCCTAAATTTCATATAAACCAAGCGAAGTAAAATAAACAAATCATTAAAACATAGCAATAACCATAAGTTTTTCTTCTTTGAAACAAATACCTGCGACGTATTGCTTTATGAAGACAAAGCTCTTCAAATTGTGGTTGATGTATTTACATTTTTTTTTTAGTCGATATGGCCTGTATAGTGGATTTCTTGTTAAAACTTAGCGTACAGTTGTTTATATAAATTTAAATTTTGATGAAAAGTTTAATTTTGCTGTAATTTATGAAAACATCGTATCATCTATAAAACTATATGAACAAGATGACAAAGATTTGTTGCAATCATCATAAATTGTTGTTTATTGAATTCATTTTGACAAAAATCTGGAGAGAAAAAACAAGTCAGACTTGTTAAAAATGCAAAGCATATTTTGAAGTGAATTACAAAATACAACCATTTACCTGAGTACTTCCAGGGGGGAATATCTGTCTTTGTAAGTAGGTTGAATAAAGAATGAACAAACGTTTGTTATGTCCTCTACCTGAGTACTTCCAGGGGGGGGGGATATCTGTCTTTATAAGTAGGTTGAATAAAGAATGAACAAACGTTTGTTATGTCCGTTATGTCCATTACCTGAACACTTCCAGGGGATATATCTGTCATTGTGAGAAGTAGGTTGAATAAAGAATGAACAAAAGTTTGTCATTTCCCCCCTCCTTACTTTCTAGAGAGTAGTGGATATCTGAAGCTCACCATGACATCGAAGATGTCTACATATAAACTGTCTTTTCTTATCTATTTTCAGTGGTAAAGTTCCCGACAACCGCTTCGATTTTATCCTCGTATTCATGAAGTTACTTTCATTATTAATATAGTTTTTTTTTAATAATCAATGTGCTGATAATGTAGTGTTTGCACTAGCTAACAATGTTATATTTCTGTCAGTTTATTCAGAGTCTTAAAACTAGGACTTAACGAAAGGAAGGGCCGAGGGTAGCAACGTAACTAGGGTTCTCGGACTGTGAATCAGAAGGTTCTGATTTCCGGTTCCATTGCTACAATATCGCGTTTTGCACTTTGGAAGCTAGACAAGCGTGAAGGTGAGATTCAAATATTGTGTCAGACGAGAGTAGCCTGAGAGTCGGCGGGGGATGTTGAATAGTTTCTTTCCTTCTAGTCTATCATTTCAAAACTAAAAACGGCTAGTGCACGTGACAAGCCATTGGGGACCGCCAACACGATCATAACATAAGTTTGATTGTACGTGCATCAATGCGTTACGGCCTTCTATATCACTAGCCAACAGTGTCATAAAGTACTGATTTAATTCAAGTTGTAGTCGAACATTCACGACGCTTTGAGTCCGTATATTTTGACCAAGTTGGCTTGTTATGCACAAGCGCAGGAAGCCTTTGTATAGCTTTGCACGACTGAATATCTGAAAGAAACAAAGTAGTCTATCAGTTCAAAATTAGGGTAATTGTATTTATGGCAAAGCTATACTAAGGATATCTGCCGTCGTCCCTAATTTTGAACTACTGACCAAAGAGATAGAAAGTGATCAACAACATCCTTCCGTCCAACATCCACACTAAGGAATTGACTGTCACTCTTGTGACGCAAACACAACTTAAAATGAGTGGAACATTTTGTGGTACCGCACGGATTCGAGACCCGGCTTGCCAGCTCCGAAATCCAGAGTCGTACTATAGGTCCAACCCGCACATTAAAATTAGAGACAGCTAGCGTAGGTAGCCCTGGTGTATAAATTTAGAGACAGCTAGCATAGATAGCCCTGGTGTAGAAAATTAGAGACAGCTAGCGTAAGTAGCCCTGGTGTATAAATTTAGAGACAGCTAGCATAGATAGCCCTGGTGTAGAAAATTAGAGACAGCTAGCGTAAGTAGCCCTTGTGTATAAATTTAGAGACAGCTAGCATAGATAGCCCTGGTGTAGAAAATTAGAGACAGTTAGCATAGGTAACCCTCGTGTAGAAAATTAGAGACAGCTAGCGTAGGTACCCCTGGTGTATAAATTTAGAGACAGCTAGCATAGATAGCCCTGGTGTAGAAAATTAGAGACAGCTAGCGTAGGTACCCCTGGTGTAGAAATTTAGAGACAGCTAGCATAGATAGCCCTGGTGTAGAAAATTAGAGACAGCTAGCGTAAGTAGCCCTGGTGTATAAATTTAGAGACAGCTAGCATAGATAGCCCTGGTGTAGAAAATTAGAGACAGCTAGCGTAAGTAGCCCTTGTGTAGCAATGCATAAAAATTCTAAACAAACAAACAATAGTAAGCTTTTCGTTTATACTTTCTGGGAAGCTTCATTCTTGCTGTTACCAACACTCCTACTTCCAACCAACCCGTTGTTATTTGAGTCAGATCCTGTGAAGGAATATATATAGAGCCATGTGTGATTTACTGAGAAACATAATGCAATTTTGTACAGTGAATCATGTACTAGACAACGTTTGAAAGAGTGGGACTCCAAAACATTCATTGTGATATGGAAATTCCTTGCTCAAAAGTAATTGTCTTCCACTCGGAATACAACGCTCACCAATCCTTATATATATATATATAGAGAGAGAGAGAAATGTTTTTCATAAGTTCCTATCGATTTTGGTTTTGAGTTGAAAAATATGTAAAAAATTATAACATAATTACTATTGAATAATATGATCTAAATGCTTTAACTTCTTATAACTTTGTTACAGAAGCTATTCTTAGTTACTATTTTACCAAAGTCGGTAAGCTCCAATGTTTTACCACAGTCGGGGGCGTATTGACCAATAACCTTTCAAGGCTTGGGCTTAGAGCGCAACAATTTGAGGGGCACATCTTAGGGTAAAAAAAAAAAATCTCAAAATGAATTTAATATTGAAATTTTTATAATAAAAACATTTCTATCTGTTTCATTGGATTGTAACTTATTGTTATTCTGTTGTTGATGGATAAGTTTCCTAGTGAGTGATTCGATAAGGAAAGAGAGCATTTAAAATCGCCAATTACCCTTAATTCGCCCCTGACCGCAATACAAACTAAATTTACCGATTTCTTTGGTCAATAAGCAACCAGTTTACCCGACACTCTTTAGCATGTCGAACAAATTAAGGGCTATTATTATCAACTTAATGTGCGAAATTAGCTTTTCTGAATAACAGTGTCATATTTAATGAGAATTTCATATTCTACCGGTGTTGATGAATTGTGGTGTATTATCTGTGTAGGCGATATTCTTGACCAATCATTAGAACCGCTGACCAGAGGAGGGGGCTAACGTTATATAGAAATAAATTCATTTATTTTTATGTAACAACTCACATTTCCAATCCTATTAATTTCCTTTGTAACAGATAAAGCATTTTATGCAATTGCATAAATAATGACGAAAAAAATACGCATACACAAATATTTTTCCACTTAACTTTTCCTGTTAAATAATTACAGATTAAAAACGTCAGAAAACATGTCCAAAAGCATTTACTCAACGTCACAGCCATCCGCTACTACTTCAAAGTTCGAAACAAATTACCCGTCTAATGAAGGTTTCCGGTTGATGTTTATTAAAGTAATATAGAAGAGAAAGAGAGGTCATGAGAACCACAAAACAAATTACTGCAAACGTTAGTTAACATCGAATTATCACACGCACCTCGTTCACGTGTGTCTCTTTCATCATAACCCATGAAACAATAGAAATATGATCATGAAGTACTTTAAAACGTTTATTCTATATTTGTTTCTTAAAAGAAAAAGAATAACTCGTAAAAATGTTAAATCTAATCTTTAGAACATTAATCAAACTTGTACGTTACATGTGCTTTCTTTATGCTTCGTTCCTCAGGTGGGACAGCGGTAAGTATTCTGATTTACAACGCTAAAATCAGGTGTTCGATTCCTCTTGGTGGACACGGCAGATAGTCCGTTGTGGCTTTGTTATAACAAAAC